CTGGTGCCCAGGATGCCCAGAGCCCATGGTAGCCAGTTCCTGGGGTGCCTGGTGCATGTGGTAGCTGGTGCCCAGGGTGCCCAGTGCCCAGGATAGCTGGTGCCCAGGGTGCCCAGTGCCTGCGGTACCCAGTGCCTGGAGGGCCCAGTGCCTGCAGTAACTGGTGCCTGGGGTGTCCCGTGCCCACGGTAGCTGGTGCCTGGGGTGCCCGGTGCCTGCTGTAGCTGGTGCCTGGGGTGCCCGCTGCCCAGGGTGCCCGCTGCCTGGGGTGCCTGCTGCCTGTGGTAGCCAGTGCCCACGTGCCACAGGCGGAGTGGCGAGAGGAGGTGAAGCTGCACTTCGAGAAGATCAAGTCGGAGGGGACGTGTCTGCACCGGCTGGAGGAGGAGCTCATCTCCCGCCGGCACGAGGAGCTCCGGTGGGGCCCGTCCGTGGGACACAGGGACACTGGGGACACGCGGTGCCGTGGGGGCATCAGGGACGTGGCGGGAGGACGAGGGTCAGGGGGTATCAGGGGGTGCTGGGGTACAGGGAGGGCTGTTGGGTGCCTGTCCTTATGTGTGGTGGGTGCTGGGTGCCGTGGGGTGCCATGGGGGGGGCGTGTGCTGACACCACACGTGCCCTGGGTGCCAGGCACGCGCTGGACATCCGGGAGCACTACGAGCGCAAGCTGGAGCGCGCCAACAACCTCTACATGGAGCTCAGCGCCCTCATGCTGCAGCTGGAGCTCAAGGAGAAGGAGCTGCTCAGGTGAGCGGGCACCCCCAGCACCCCCAGCACCCCCTATACCCACCCCATGGCCACCCCATTGCTGTGGCCAGCTCTATACCAAGCCTATGGCCATGGCCAACCCTCTATCTACCCTATGGCCACCTCACAGCCATGGCCAAACCTATGGCCACTCCAAGGCCACAGCCAACCCTATAGCCAGCCCATGGCCCTGGTCAATCCTATAGCACCCCATGGCCACGGTGAACCCTGTATGCATCCCATGGCCACCCCATGGCCATGGCGAACCCTGTATGCATATCCCATGGTCACAGCCAACCTTATATCCACCCCAAGGCCAACCCTATATCCACCTCATGGCCATGGCCAATCCTATATCCACCCCAAGGCCATGGCCAACCCTCTATTCACCCCAAGACCAACCCTATATCTACCCCATGGCCATGGCCAACCCTATATCCACCTCATGGCCATGGCCAACCTTATATCCACCCCAAGGTCAACCCTATATCTACCCCATGGCCATGGCCACCCCATGGCTACCCTGAGCCCATGGCCAGCCCTTACTCACCCCATGGCCACCACCCCAAGACCACGGCCACCCCACACGGCGTCCCCGGGTGCGGGTGCCCACGCGTGGCCCGTGGCAGGCGGGAGCAGGCGCTGGAGAAGCGCTACCCCGGGCTCTTCAAGCCGCGGGCGCCGCGGGGGCTCGCGGGCGCCTGGGTCCCTCGGGGGGGCGGGTGGGTGGACCCTGGGTCCTTTGGGGTGGGGGGATCTGGGGGTTCAGCTGCCTGGGTGCTTTGAGGAGGGGGGCACGGACATGTGGGTCCCTCAGGGTGGGGGGGGTGTCTGGGGACATGGATATGTGGGTCCTTGCGGGGCTGGGAGCCCAGACACTGGGGTCCTTTGGGTGGGGTCTGGGGGCTCGGGTGCCCTGGGGTCCTTTGGGGAGAGGGGGTGGGGAGACTGAGTGCTGGGGTCCTTTAGGGCAAGGAAGCTCTGTGGGTGCAGCTGCCTGGGGTCCTTTGGGAGGGTGTTCTGGGGTGCAGATGCCAGCGTCCCTTGGTCTTTTGGGGGGGTCTGGACGTGGGGGTCCCTCCTGGCTGGGTGGGGGTATTCCAGGTGCTCCTGGATGCCTGGGTCCCCGTCCGCAGCCCTTCCCCATGTCCCCCCCACCCAGGCCCGACATCCTGAAGCCGGAGGTGCTGCTGCCCAAGCTGGATGCAGCCATGGCGCAGGGGGCGC